GCCAGAGGCGAAGTGGCCGGCTGGCTAGCTGGGCTAGCTGGGCCGGTAGGCCCAGCGGGGGGGGGGGTGCTTCTTTTTTTTCTGTTTTAATTTTATTACCCTAATTGTTTTAGTTTTGTAAAACATTTAATTAGCACCTAAATCACTAATAGTATTTATACCACTGCCACAATTATTCTTGTAGTTATAAAAAGTAGTTTTTAATAATTTAATTATTTAAGAGACGTTTAAATTATTGTTTCAGCGACTGTTCCTATTATCTAATGCACTTAAACATTGTATGTTAATTTGGATCCACCACCATAATCATCTATGATTTGTTTGCTACACTTTGAACATTTTAGATTTGACTTTTCAAAACTTTTACTGTTTGACTAGATTTTGAATTTGAATTTGAAACGGTTTCGAACTAACACGAGATTAACAACGGTAATCGTGGTGACATGGCATCATTACCAGAGGGTTACTGTAGCTTGATTACCCGGGCGTCACATAAGACATGCAGTTGTGTGCCTAGTGTGGGGCATGCAACTGGGCCCCATCTCTCTTGATGCCGTCCCCTTTGAGAAAACAAAGGTCACCCAGTTGCGACCAATTTAGAAGACATGGAGTTGCGTGCCCATTGTGGGACATGCAAACTGGCGCCTCTCCCCGCACAACAAAAATGGAAGTCGAGTTGCAACCAAATTATAGGACATGCGGTTGTGTGCCTAGTGTGGGACATGCAACTGGTGCCTCTCCCCGTACAAAAAAATGAAATTTGAGTTGCAACCAAGTTATAAGACATGTAGTTGTGAGTTGTGACGATGCTTAAAGACATGCAGTTGCGTGCCCGTTGTGGGACATACACCTGGCGCCTCTCCCCGTACAACAAAAATGGAAGTCGAGTTGCAACCAAGTTATAAGATATGCAGTTGCGACCAAGTTAGAAGACATGCAGTTGCATGCCTGGTGTGGGGCATGCAACTGGGCCCCATCTCTCTCGACGCCGCCCCCTCCTAAAAAACAAGGGTCTGACAAAACAAATGTCCTCCCAGTTGCGACCAAGTTAGAAGACATGGAGTTGCATGCCCATTGTGGGACATGCAACTGGCGCCTCTCCCCACACAACAAAAATGGAAGTCGTGTTGCAACCACGCTATAAGACATGCAGTTGCGACCAAGTCAGAAGATATGCAGTTGCACACCTAGTGTGGGACATGCAATTGGGCCCCATCTCTCTCTACGTCGTCCCCTCCGACAAAACAAAGGCCCCCTAGTTGATACCAAGTTAGAAGACATGGAGTTGCGTTCCCATTGTGGCATATGCAACTGGCGCCTCTCCCCGCACAACAAAAATGGAAGTCAAATTGCAAATAAGTTATAAGACATGTAGTTGCATGCCTAGTGTGGGACATGCAACTGGGTCCCATCTCTCTCGACGTAGCCCCCTTCGACTAAACAAAGATCCCCTAGTTGATACCAAGTTATAAGACATGCAGTTGCGTGCATATTGTGGGACATGCAACTGGTGCCTCTCCCCGCACAACAAAAATGGAAGTCGAGTTGCAACCAAGTAAAGCAAACAAAAGGGCTATACAAATCCTAGTTATGGCCCAATAATACATTTGAGGGGATTTGAGTTCAAAGATAAGCTTCAAAAACATGGATCTGATTTCACGAAAGTAATGTTTCAGCAAAATCATATTCTTCGACCTACTAATGTCGACTAGAATAAAACAAAACAAGTGAATTGAATCACTCTTGCTAATGGCTTTAGTAATGTGCATGAGGGGATATGAGAGAAGCACTTCTTGAGACACCAAAAAATATCCCAGTAAAGAACAATATAAATGATAGCACTCACCAGATTAAAAAAACAAAAAAATGTGTCAAAAAATAGATAACTAGCAGAGGTTTATATCCTAAAAGACAAAAAAGAATGTCAACTTAGCAAAAACCCTAAACACACGTCTGTCTTGTCACCTACTCATGAACATATGGTGTAAAAAATGCACTATAGTCTCTGTACAGAGAGGGTGTAAAAATGTATCTACAAGTACGCATAAACATAAAAAAAGGTGTTGATAAAAAACTACTTGCTGTACAATTCAATGGAGAAACACACTTCATCTTCAGTCTCTTGGCCTACTAAAAGAAATTTAGTACTACTAGTTGCAAAACAATCTTTACTGGAAAGAACCTCAAAATAAATAGCAATAAAAGGGAAAAAAATCTGAATGACACTTGACAGTGGCACATAAAAGCGGAGCTTTATTTATCGAGATAAGTGAATCTACCTACAAGCAAAGAAACAAGTTTCATCATCAAAAAATCCACCACACCAACATTGCCGATAGACAAGCGTGAGCGAGAGACACTATTGTGCATGAACGCACAAAAAATTAAACCTAAAAAAATAAGGTCTAAACTATGGGGGCGATTCTCTGCTTGAAACTATTAATCACATA